GTGTAACGGAAGACACGGCGCCTCAGGTTAAAGATGAAGGATCTGAGGCTCAAGGTAAGGTACGTCAAGACGCTTGCAACGGGAACTACCTTGGGCACTTCAACACCACAGTCTCATCGTTGGCCCTCATCACCAGCTTTCAATGAGACGGAGACATGGCAGCCTGTCATATGGATATTGTGTTCGTTGCAGTGCTCGGAGGCACGTTACACTCTCTTAGCTACTCCTTTCGAATGGGTGCATGGAGGGCTGAAAACGAGGCAGCTTCCCCATACTTCAGAGGAAGGACGAACAAGCACCTTGCAAGATATAGGCAATTAACCTTTGATTTCCGTTCGAATGCCACGAGGTTAAAACCATAATTGTAAATAGATACATGCCGCGAATTAGAGATATAAATCAACAAGATCCCGTCACTTCTTCATCGACCTTGTGTTTCCCGTCTTCCCCCTCCCTGCCACTCTCTCCTCCAGACACATTTACTAACAATGCACATCACTTAGGTACATCGTACACACACAACAATAGAGCACACTCTTTCTCTCTCTGTCCGGCATCGCTCCTCACGGGGAAAAGACTCTCGTGCCTCCCTTCTGCACCCCTGCCGGTGTCCAATGCAATGCGGCAATGCCCCTCCCCATCCCGATCTTTTCGAGGCGGCCGGCACTACTTGCCTTACCGCCCCTCCATCTCCCCCAGCGTCAGCGTCGAGCAGTACCAGCTTCCCCCTAGCTGGCCGCTGCCATGCCGCCAGGGCTCCGTGTCAGTGTCAGGTAACCCCCCAATTGCCCCCATCCACACAGTATCAGCCGCTAGCCGCGATACACGGTACAGGGGACTGGTGGACAGTGCCACTGTGAACCGAACAGCAGCGCCAGAGTCTGACGAGTCTGCAATACTGCTAGTACGACTTGTGCCTGGGCTTGTCAACATCGCCGCCGCTGAGAACACAACTGCCGAGATTTTCATCCCTCCTTCTTATTCCCTTCTTGACCGACATATCCTTCCTCCCAACCGACCGCGCCAGAGAGGACTAGCGAAAGGTTTCCTCCTTCGCTTTTCTTCCACTCTTCCGCAACTTCCACTTTCTTTTCTTTCCCGTTTGCCAGCGGCGATGTTATGGACCCTGTTCATGAAATTCCTCCTCGTAAGCTCCCTCATCGCCTGGTGGCTCAAGCGACCGAATAGCCGTTTCCAAAAGTTCGTTCTGGCCGCCGCCAGCCTCGCAACATTCTGGGTTATCGCTCCCATTTACGCACAACTTTGTCTCGCTTGGTCCGTACATTACACCCGTGAGGGTATTCGTTATTGGAGTCTGGATGAGTTGCTTGTGCGGCATGCCAGTATGCTGGTGACTCTCGCCGCGGTCATTTGGTCAGTTTCACCCACGCGCCTCTTCCCCTTCCCCGCCTTGTCCTGCTGTTCGCTAGCGGTCATCTCGACACGTGCGACTCCTCTGGCAACATTTTGCTGACAGTGTGAAGGCTGCTCCATCGCGCCTGGCAGACTCTTTGGAAACCGACAACCGATCTCATCAGCATCCTTGGAGTGGACGTTCCCGAGGCCCCCGATGTATCCTTGGCCGGAATTCGACCCGACGCGGCGACTCTCAACTGGACGCGACCGACGCACAACCGACCTGTACAGAAATTTCTGATCCAGGTCAATGGCGTAAATGGTTGGTCTTTGTTCGACGCCTTAGGTGGTCGTGGAGTACGAAACTGACATATCTTCACAGTTGGCGAATCGAGGCAGGAGGAGACGGCTATTACTGTCACGGGTCTAAGGCCCAATCACTGCTATAATATACGAGTCATTGCCGTTGGACCGAATAACTTCCAGGCAGGTAGCCAGGTCATAAGACTGCGTACCTATCGATCCGACGGACGGCCAGAACTGGGCAATTCGAGACTACCCGACAGTTTCCAAGATCAAGACCCACGACCAGGACAAACTCCGTGCGTCGAAGACAATGGCAGTCGTAGCCAGGTGCCCACCATCGAAGCGGCGCCGTCTCTCGAAGGCGGATCCGCCGCTGCGCGAGACAACACTTCCGGCCAGAGGCGCAACACTGTCAATCGCAGGCACTCCCCGTCCATAGCAAGTCAGGAGCAACCATCAATCAAGGATTTTTCCAGCGACCACCCTGAGGCGTCGCTCAAGGAACTTGCCGACACCTTGGAACGGTCGAGGAAGGAGTTTGTGGAGACAGCATCCTTACATGCAACCGAAGAAAGCGAGTTTAGACAGCTCGAAGAGCGGTTGAAAAAGGAAAAGGAGGAGAAAAAGAAGATTCAGAAAGAGAAGGACGATAACACCGCGCAGTTGAGGCAAAAGGTCAAGTCTACCGGCGAACAGATGAGACAGGCCACCAAGGAGAAGGCGCGGAAGGAGAACCTGTTGAAGGAGAAGCAAGAAAAGCGCAAGAAGGCGATGGACAACATCGAGAAATGTGTTGCTGAAGCCAAATCTATGCGCAAAACTCGCGACGGGTTTGCGTCGGAAAAGGAAAGTCTTGCGCAGAGCCGTGATCTCAAAATCAAGCACCTGGATGAGGAGAACTCTGCCTTGCAAGATGAATATTCCCAACTCGAGACCGAATACAAGGAAAAGAAGGAACAACTCAAGGAGCTTGAGGATGCACGCAGAAAGCTGCCTGGTGGCGAGGAAGACGACACTTGGCGAGAGGATGACCGGAAAATGAAGAGAGATTTCGAGATGAAGCGCCGAGAACTTCAGAGTCAACTCATCATGGAGAACAGGAAGGCTCAACAATTTGAGGGTCACATCCACGTCCTACATGCTCAGGTCTACGCCCAGAACCAACAGAGCATGCAATTCTACAATCAGGCGAATTCTTCCGGCGTCGAATTTGATCCGAACGCCTCGGCACAAATTAAGCGTCGAAGTCGCACCGGCAATGCTCTTACCAACACCGTCGCATCGCCGACGGGCCCTTTCTCAGCCTCGGATTCTCCCTTCGACCCTCCGATCGGGTTCACCAGTCGAGCCCCGTTCTCGCACTTCTTGGATATGTCTGGAGGCGAGGCCTTTGCGAGCGACCAATTCTCTGATGCTGATATCAGGGCTCTCACAGGGAACGCACCGCTCAGCCCTACGGCGGCTGCCCTGCTACCTTCTGGCATCTTGGGTGACGACGAACCTAGCAGCCCTGACTCTCTCTCGCGCAGAAGCCCGTTTGTTCCGGGGTACGAAGATGACGCTCAGTCGCCAGGATCGTCCAGACGCTCGAATAGTGTTCCTTCTAGCCCCCCTGGATCATCGCATGTCACCGCTTTCCCACCCTTTGCACCTGACAACGGTGATCCCTCGTCTCTCAAAGACATCACGTCCTCGCCCGGGGGACAGCCATCGCCAGCTGCAAATGGACATCGGTTCACGGACCTGATTCATTGGCACAGAACCAAAGGCTCTAAAGCTGCTGATGATGGTGGCCCCATGCTGGGAAGCCTAAAGCATGGCCAGAGTCAGTCCTTCCCTCGGCAGACCGATGAACTGGATGGAACCAATCGACGCCGAACCAGCTTCTCATCCTACACCCAGAACCGGAACTCTGCTGGACCTGACACTCTTGAGGCGGCGAGTGCATCGAACCTGGGACGCAGCATGTTTTCATCGGCTCGCAGGTTGATACCATGGAATTCGTACGGGGACCGAGATCCAAGCAGCCCTAGACCGGCTTCCATGGCCTCGGCGGACTTGCCACGACCGTCCACCGACAGCGGATCCATTTGGAATCATCCAGCTGATCGAGGAAACCGATTTTGGTCACCAGCTGACGGGCGTTGGGCGTCACGAACTCCATCTAGACGACCCTCCCTCCACGGCTCGCCAGCGGCTCTCAAAACGACACTGGCTTCAGCCGAAGACGAGATCCTGGATCATGAAGCCTTGAATGATCCTCAAGTCTCGCCCAGTCAGGTTGGCGTCATTGGCAGTCGACCACCAGCCAGTAAACAGAACTCAGACAACAAATCCTTGTTGAGCAAGAGCTTAAACCCAGCAGCGCCGACCTTCTCTATTGGGGGACTATTCCGCAGTAAGGATAAAGAAAGTGACTCAGGCAAAGAGAAGGACAAGTCAAAGTCCAAGGACAAAACTAAGGACAAAGCCAAAGACAAGGACGCAAAGGAAAAAGGCAAGACGAGGGATGTTTCTACGCCCAGCCTAGACCTGCCGCAAGGCTACGATGCGTCTCCAACAGAGTCCAGAAAGTCCCGCGATGCCTTCTCTGTCCACACACAGGCATCGGTCACCGAATCTCGGGAGTCTTTGACCCTTGATAGGGCAGTCTCCAATACACTTTCTGACTCCAATATCAAGGACCAGGAGAACGCCTACAGGAAGCTCTTCAGGAAAGGCAGCTCCAGCAAGTTCAGTCTTTCGTCTCGTCTAAGCAAGGACTCGAGTCTCTTTAAGAAAGGGCCTGGGAGCACTACGAACTCGGACAAGAACTTGTCTGCGGATCGATCCAGCTTTGGTGACATTGACGACTTTGGCGAGGAGGGGTTGCTTGGACGAAGCTATGAAAGCGTCACCAGCAGCCCGTCCGCAGGCCCTGTCAAATCCAGAGACGCCAAGGAAAGCAGAATTTCTGGCTGGAGCAGTAAGTTTTCTATGAAGAAGAAAGGCAAGGATAACCGAGAAAGCCTTGAGTTCCACCAGGTTACCCCCGAGGGCGAGGTCGAGGGAGAAGACAAGAAAGACGAGTGAATCCAGCGGATCTGTCGGGGTCAGACAGTCGAAGCGATGTAGTGTTTTGCAAAAATCAGTAAAAATAAAAGATTAGGCGTTCCAAAAGCAGCATTGTCTCAGACACACATAATCGAGTGAAAATGACCAGATACCCATCTAATCTACTATTTTCCGGTAACACTTGGATAGAGTAATACGGAGCACTGTGAAACCTCAATGTGCTTACGCCAAATGCTGTTCAGGCGGCTGCTTTCTTAGTGTCTAGGTATTGCGTTGATGTTTGCTCACTCACATTGACACCAAGTAAGGTAGGCGGTGAGCCCAACAGCCGGCGGCAGAAAGTCTCAATTGGCAAGCTCCTTCCGAAAGCACGGGTCACATTTCGCGAGAGGAACGAACGGATAGCTGTAGATTTACCCACCCAGATCGAACCACCCGCGCAAACCCGCCGCCCTCTGGGAATCTGCCGACGGAACCATTGAACGAAATTCAAGTGACACTATTTGTCGTCATACATCCAACGAGGACGTACAATCGAGTTCAAAGCCTCGTTGTCGTTTTGACGAATCCGTAAAACAATCTCTCTACGAACTGTCATCGGAAGAAACAAACCGGGCCGCCCGACCCTCCGAAAACGCCGGCCTTCCACCCTTCGAACTCTTTCTTCCCCGATCCCTCGACCGACCAGACGGCCGACCCGAGCAAGCGGACACTCCTTCACTTCCCATAATCTTTCTTCCGCCAATTGATGGCCGCGATGGCGGCTCAGAACCCGACCGGCGGCGCCCCCGCGGACCTGCCGATGCCCTCGCGCAACCCGCTCCCCCTCTCGGCCTCCCAAGAGGCGCAGATCAGAGACATTTACCACGCGCGCGTGCGAAACGCCTGCGCACCCGAGATCAAGGGTTCGTTCTTCCCCTGCAGTCACCTCATACCGTTGTCCTCTCTTCTTTCTCTGCAGCTCTCTCCGGAGATAATACCCTCCTTCAAGTCCCCATTCTCCCGAAGCCTATCATAGCCCGTCCCTTACAAATCCTCCACGTCAAGAAGCTTCCTTGCAAAGAAAGAAAACGCCGGAGAAATATAGATACTAACAAACAAAAAAACCAACAGCCTTTGCAGACTGCGCCCTAAACCGCACCTTCACCGTCTCCTTCGTCTGCCGCACCCAGCTCCGCGCAATGAACGGTTGCATGAAGGCCCACGCCACCCCGGAGGAGCACGACGCCGCGCGCGAGGAATGGTTCGCCAAGCGCATGGAGCGGCAAAAGGAGCGCGAGCGCAAGGCCGTGAAAAAGGCGCAGCAGGAGGACTTTATCCGCGAGTGGTGGGGCCTGCCCGAGAAGGACGCCGAGACGAGGAGGAAGGAGGAGGAGAAGATGAGGCTGGGCGAGCGCGTGGGCGGGTACGCTGCGAGGGATCGGAAGGGTGTTGCGGCCGAGGAGAGGCGGTGATGGCTGGAGGACTGACTGATATGGGGGAGGAGGGTCGTTCGGGGAGGGGGCGCGGATTTTGCCCGTGTCAAGGAAGAAAAGGGGGAGGGAGATGCATATGTTGGGCGTTCTGGATTTACGGTTTGGGACACCCTGCTCTATGGCGCGGCCATTCGGCTTGTACAAATACACACACAAACACAACATTTCACATCATGTAGACTATATCAATCCAAAAAGGGGGGGCCGAAGCCTAGAGATGGCGGTCATTGTCACGGATACCACAATGGCCTCAAGTTTTCAGCTCTAGCTGGGTGTATCATTCCTCGAGTCTGTTCGCTCATGATCTAAGCTTTTTGATCTATTTGGCAACCCGGCTTGGGTATGCCCGTTTTCTTCATAAGATCCTCCACCCCTGAAAACGCCGAATTCCATTCTAGAAACAAAAGTACGACCGAATAGGGGTCCACTAGGCCTCTCTCTTCTGAAGCTCGGCGGGGAGCAGGGCGACCTTGTCCTGGAAGAGCTTCTCGGCGCGGGCCCAGACGGAATCGTTGCGCCAGTCCTTGAGGTTCAGGAGGGTAGGCAGCAGGTCGTTGCTGAAGGCCTCGCTCTGTCATTCATGTCAGCTTCACTTCCCGCGAATGCATTTCCAGCGTTGTCAAACTTACAGACTCCCTCGGCAACAAAGACGGAAGGTGGTCGATGGAGATGACGCTCAGGGGAGGGTTCTCCAGTCCCTCGACGGGGACGGTGGGCTTGTCGAAGGTGGTAGCCACGGTGTAGACGGGAACTATGAGTAAATGCATTGTCAGCATTGTCTAATTGATAGAGCCGTCTAAAGGTGACTTACTCGGGTTGTGGGGGTTGGTGGTGTCAGCAGAAACATCGCAAATCACGCTGAGGTTTCTACCGGGGACCTGCAGAGACTCGCGGTTGAGGAAAGCTAGAAAAGTATTGTCAGCTTACGGCCCCGCCAATCGTACGCTGTGTCAACCGTTTCATGATCATGACTCCACGAGTTGATCATGTTACTCCTTTTTCAAGAGAGCATGCCAATAGATGCTTGACACCGGATTGAAAGGGTAGTAACATACGGGGAATAGGTTGGCTATGGGAAACATGTGTTAGTACAAGCTCAAAATTGGGGTTATTCCCAAAGAGACGTACCTGAGGTAGATGCAGTTGACGAAAATGTCGGCATCCGTGATCTCCTTGTAAGGGCCGGGGTTCTTGGTCTCCTCCATATCCTGCAGCTCATGTTAGTGCGTGTTGCGATGACCAAACTGGGAATGACTTACCCAGCGAACGATATCCTCAACACCGGCTCTCTTGGCCATCTCAACGGCACCGGAACCGCAACGTCCAAGAGCACCAATCACAATGACTCTGGGCTTGCGACCAGCCTTGGCAATACCCTCGTCCAAGGCCTTCTTGACATCGACGATGAGAGCATCCTCATTGGGGTACGCCTCGACGGCAGGGAAGGGCTCGCCAGGGTGGGTGAGCTGCCAGGCCCAGTTCTCGAGAGCAAGAGCAGCGCCAGAGAAACCAGCGTGGAAACCGAAGGCTGCGACTCTGCGACCGGACTCGTTGGCCAGGAACTCGAGGTCGAGAAGAGTGCCGCCGCCACGGGGGAAACGGCCGAGTGTCTTCTCCCAGCCACCTTGGTTCTATAGCTTGGTTAGCGAGCTCTCTGGTGGTATCCAGCTCAATTGGGGCTTATATACCTTGTAGACGTGGAGGAATGTGACGTGGACGTGCTTGAGAGGGAACTCCTTCTCCTCAAGCTCCTTGAGACCGACGATGATCACGTCCGATGGGGCTGACTCCCAGGAGTATTCGGGCACAAGGGTTGCGCCAGCGGCTTCGAACTCGGCATCGTCAAAGATGCGAACCTGGGGATCGTCGGGTCAATGATTCGTCCCTCACGAAAGACGGATAGTACATCGGCGAGAACGTACGGGACTCCTTTCAACTCTGACTTCGTAGCCGGCCTCGACCAGCTTGCGAGTAGTCGTGGGGGTGAGGGCGCTCCTGTGTTCCAAGGGCTGACGTCAAAAGTTAGCTATCTCTGAATACTCAAAGTCAATGTTGGTTTGCAGAATCATTGCACACCTTGGTTTCGGATCGGAGGTGAAGAATAGTGTGGGCCATGTTTGCGACTTGGATTGAACTGTTTGCGACTACAATTGATTGCTGTTGCTGGAGAGGAAACTACGAAAGTTCGAGGCGGGAAGGTTGAGGATGATGAAAGTTGAGTGTGGGGCAATGACTCCAAAACATCCCACCTTGTGTGTGACTCTTCTGTCCTGTATCCGTAGGGGACCGATTATTTCACCGCTTATCGGAGCGCGGGGTAGGCCCGGTACCTATGGGATGGCAGTTGCTAGTGAGGTGAACCCAATTTCTTCGCTTCTTGTTTTTGGCCATTCAGGCGAATAGAATCTCTGCCTCCAACAGTTGAGATTTTTATTTTTTCGATTTTTTTGCGACATTCTGCCAAGCATGAACTTCCACCACTCATGCAACAGCGGGTGACGCCATGCAGGTACCGGCCGAAGCTGCACCGTCGTCTCCAACGCTCTCTCGCTTCCGGGCAGGTCACCAATGAGCCAGTCAGACGGCCTCGCCGATATCGCTTGACCTTGACATTTCCATGCTTTCCATGGCACTTGATGACCATGCATAGGTATTGTACATTGAGAAAACATTGATCGAGGTTTCCTGAATCGACGTTGTCTAGATTTGCTATTCAATCTCTACACCGATGCTCTAAGGTAGCATGGTGCATTCCTATCTAAAGCCGCGGCATGATTTTCGAGTCTCCCAATAATTCAAGTACACCCTCAGCTACACCCCAGGACATCTCGAACCCCCTGCCCCCCAGACCATAAGCATGGATTATGGTGCGCTTCTCTCCCACCTCTTCTCTTTCCAGCCTCATGCCGCCCTTTCGAGTCGGCCGTCGGCCTACGACATCTTTGAGGACGCGAAACTCACCATCGTCCCCAAGGATCTTAGGATATGTAGCAGCGAAGTGTTTGAGGAGCTTTTCCCGCACTTCTGGCGACGGTTCAGTGTCCCAATTGTCAGTTTCCTTTGTGCCACCCACGATCGTGCCGCCATCGAAATTTCGAGGCACGCAGAAAGTCCAAGATCCATCAGCATTCTGTCTTGTCACGGTTGCTGGGCTGAAGTTGGCGACAGCACACGTTTGACCTGAAGAACCTCATCAGCAAAGTCGCCAAAGTAAGTTGGATGTGAGTGGCCGATATACCTCTCGTGATGAATGAGTTTGGGTCACCAAATCCGACACCAGAGCAGTTGACTACATGTCTCACGTTCGGCAACTCTTTCAGTGAGAAAGCCTCACGGGGATCCCTGAGTTCTCTGCGGAAGATTTGGCCGCCATTCCAGGAGAACTTGCGAAGGAGGAAGGAGCAGTAGACCATGGGGTTCACACACCATGTCTTGTACTCGCATCCCCACTTCACCTTGTCATCTGGGTATTCGGTTGGGTTCAGGAGCCGGAAGTCTACCAGTCCCAAGCTCTGGGCCTTTTCCTCGCTGAGAGCTTGGTATTGTGGCGGAGGATCATCGAGGTATTCGATACCAGGCATGAAAGTAATACCGGCTTCAGGATTGCTCTTCGCCTGGGACTCCATGTGCCGGAACGTTCTGAGGGCCATCGCATGATCGCGCTGTTCCATCTCGTTGGCCGGTATGACCCAACGGTTGTGAGCGCCGCCCCATTGTGAGGTGTAGTTGATTGAAGCTTTGCTGTCAACGGTCTCAAACGGACTCGGGAAATCCTTGGCCACTATTGCTACTTTATGGCCCTCTTGCTGAAGCCTTACAGCAGTGCTCAACCCGATCACACCGGCTCTGTCTTATGTTAGCGGCCACTCAGATCTGAAGAGGAGGAAGGGTGCTTTGGTACCCAATCACCACGATTTGTGCCATCTCGCAAAAGTATAAACCTGCTGAATACTGGACGTCAACCGTGTCAAAATGGTCGATGACAAAAGTTGTGAGTAGTACCATGAAAACTAAGTCGGCTTCTTACACGGAGCGAAATCGACCTACTCGGATGGCGGGCCCACCAACAATAGAATATAGTGCGCCGACCATCGGAGGCAGTATCGGCGACGCCCGGCCCCAGAAGCATCGCCCGAGCCCGGGGACTCCGGTCAAGAAACCGACAGAATCTCTAGTTAGCCAACCGATCACGGCCGGTCTTTTTCCCGATCGCCTTCACCTTCCTCCCACCCATTGGTGCTTCACGGCAACCTTCGAGCTAGGCGCTGAACCACAGTACCCCAAGACACCTCCACCCTTGGAAATGTTGCTTGCTTATGACCGTCTCATCAATCCACAAGACGCAAGACCGAAACCTATAAGTTGTCTCACGGGCAGACCCATGACTTCCTGGACCGAAAAGTTGACCTTTGTAAAAACAGAGATGGGTCGATGATTTTTTTCTTTCGAAGCCATGTGGAACGTGGACACGCACTTTGAGCACTTCCCACACGATCGGCGGATGCAATGTGCCTCAACGGCCCCGGCTGGGACAGGGTAGTCTCCCGCGTTACATTCTCGCTTCGATGCCCGAAGACCTTGCACCGTCGGCATTCTCGCAAATCTCCAGAAACCCCATGCCCAAAGGAAACATCAAGGGCGGTCAGAGTTCAACAAGATCAATAGAGTGACCAGCCAATTTGGGGAGCTTAGCCAATGGCACGAAGTCTCCCGCCGAGCCAACCCCGCGCGCCTGTCTCTCACCACCCTGGTCTCGGCGCCTAGAATGCAGTGTGATTGTCTGGCTGATTGGCCCAGCCTGCAACCTTTCACAATCTATTTTCGTCTGCCCATTTCGACCACCACCATCCTTTCCCCCCTTCCGGCCGCCCCTCCATCCTCTCTTTGGCTTCACGGTTCACCCACTCACCGCGGCCCGTCTGTCGAGAAGCCCAGCGCTTACACTGGCCTTCCCGTGGGTGACCTGCCGCCCTGTACCACGCGCAATAGTGCCGCTGTTTCAAAGGGGGGAGGAGAGTAAGGTAATTCGTATATACACTCTCTTGGTATCTTTGGTAGTCGTATGTTTACACGGCTTTTCTCTTCCTTTCATCTGTGCTGTCTACCTAGTGCTGCAATAATAAACTTGTTTGTTGTTTGCTTGGTGCCCACTGGGTTGGATATCATGCATCGGTAGCAGCTGGACTACCTGTTCTTCATTCCTTTCAGGCCACTCCCCCCTACCCCCATATTTCGTGACCAGACTTGAATATCATTAACACGCCGGGTGAGAAAAAAATCAACGACAACATTCGATTCGAGATAATCCGCCCCAGCATAGCCCAGTATGTCGTCGTCGACACAGCCACCCTCTGGAGGGTACTCACTCTTCCCGAACCCCAACTCCAAGCCCCCAACAATAAGGAGGCCGGCATCTCGAACTCGAAGATCAGAATCGCGTGAGCGGCCCCGGGCTGTGTCTCCTGAGAGCGTTCACAACGTCGATCAAGCGTCTCCACCGCGTCACGGAAGACAGACGCCGCAACAGAGAGTCCAAACACCGGTTGAGCGATCGCAAACTCCACAAAGCATCCGCCAGGCCCCATTAGGTGAACAGCAGCAGCAACAACAGCAGCAGCAACATCAACAGCCCTCGCCGCGTAGTCGCGAGCTGCCGGCCCTGCCCCCGCCGTCGGCCACGGAGGCTTCGCCCATCCAAAGGCCCCCTCCCGTCGCCGATATCCCGCCCCGGTCAGATACCGCCTTCTCACAAGCACATACGCTTGTACGGAATAATAGCACGCGGTCCAGAAGCTCGATAGCAAAGCTTCCGTTCCCCGAGGAACCCTCATCGTCTTCACAAGAACAGCCTGCTCTCCGATCCATCTTCCCTCAGTATAACCCGGAAAGGCCTCTCAACCAACAAGACTACTTCCCAACGCAAACAAGCCCAACTCATATCCCACGGGCTGTGATTAACCGGACAACATGGTATCCGAATCCCCAGGAAGCGGAAGGTCAAAATGATCAGCACAGGAGTCCTCCCATGAGGAGTCCCCTGAGCGGGGGCTCAGCGCAGAGATGGCCAAGGAGACAGATCGAGCCTCCCATCATCCCAAGTGTCTCATCAAATGAGCACATGAAGAGCCTGTGGAAGGTCTCCAACGGATGGAAAGCACCTCCTTCAGAAGGCAGAGTGTACTGCATGAAGCTGTCCCAGGAGAAGGACGCACCCGTGTACACACTCTCCTCGACATCACAGCCCTTTTACAACATCCGCCTCGATCCCACGTCTGCATCAGCATACGTCACTCTCAGCCGTCACGACCCGGCCAAGGTCTACAAGGCCCCGAACCCCATGGCAAGCTCGTCAGCGAGCAGCATCCTCTCCGGCGTCGTCGGCCACAAGGACAGCAGCAACAACGGTAAAGGCGCCGAGAGCAAACACTGGCAGGAAGTCCTCACCACCACACTGGAAGAGGAATCCCGCAAACACCCGCCCAACGACGGCCTCGTCGCCCTCCTCTACCCGCTGGCGGCCGCCAAGATGGCCCTTGACAAGCCGGGCGACATGAACGCCATCATGACGGCCGAGACGGAGTGCGCCCGCCTCGTCTGGGACGAGGACTCCCGCTCGCACTTCCTTGTCCACCCGGCCCTCGCCACCCCCTTCTGCGTCACCATTGAGCGCTCACCCGCCTGGAGCCGGGTCGAGTACACGCTCGAGCACCACGAGTCGCCGCAGCACCTCGCCAAGCTGACGCGTGACGGCACGGGCGGCGGCTACCTCGAGGTCGACACGGCCATCGCCGCAAAGATTGACAGCTTCTTCATCGTCGACGTCGCCGTCGCGGCGCTCATGCTCGTCGCGGCGGCGGACGAGAAGAACACCAAGGTGGAGACCTTTGAGCCGCCCCCGGCGCCGCACGATCCTGTCGGTGGCAGCGGCCGCGACAGCCGGTTGAGCAAGAGGGAGGAGAAGAAGAGGGCCGCGGCGGCCGCGCGCAGGGGCAAGATGGAGGAGTTTGAGATCGACGTCGAGAGCCAAGACAGCAGCTTTGCGAAGCTGGAGCAGGTCGGCAAGGAGACGCGCGACAGGCTGCCCTGGCCTTTAAGAGCGCTGTTCAAGGTTGTAG